AACGGTAACGATTTTATCACACTCCGTGTATTTTCCATTTGTTTCATCCGAAAGAGAAACTACTTTGGTACTGATAAAATGGAATCGTCGAAATTCATAGCAGTCGTTCGGTTATTGGAATAATTTGAGACGACTCAATTTCTAGAGAAATTAAGAATTTTAATAACTTTTTTAAACAGCTACATAATCGATACTTCCGAAATCACTCTTAATGTCGACAAATATTATTTAATTGGTACATAGATGAGTATGTAATTTCAATGTTAAATAATGTTCCTATAACTTATTGTTTTAATAATGAACAAAGAAATTTTTAATTTTAAAACGAACATAGAAGTTTATCGTTCTTGAGAAATAATATTGAGGAAAGTCTAAAAACTTGTTAAGTTGAATGAAAATCTTAGATACTTATATGTATAAAACTAATGATTTTAACTGTCGATATTTGTATATTATCTTGTAACTATATTATTATTCCAGTAGTAAGACATGTTCATTTTATTATATTTAGTAGATTAAACCAGGGTGTTGAAATTGAAGAGTATATTAACTAATTGTAAGAGTATATAATAAATAATGTAGAAACATATATAACGTTGTTATAAATATTTTTTGTCAGGAATGTGTTTTCTATGTACTATTATTTATAAAAGAAATTTACTTTAATAGATTTCAATCTTACCAGAATTTAAAAAACAAATATTGTTTTCTTTATTTATAATATACATCGATTCAATTAGTTTTTTATAAATGTCTATGGAAAGGATATCAATTGATTATTATGTACTGTGGGCACCTATAGATGATCAGACGGGAAACCACAAAAATTACGCGGGGTAATTTCGTTATCATCTTAAGGGAACACCTAGAGGTAAATAACAAGTTTACTTGTGCAACGGAATACACATTTTTGTAAAATTTAAACATTACAAGTGATAAATTGATTTCTTTACAAAGCAATGAAAATGAGAGATATAAAAAATAAACGATTTAATCAATTTCACATTACAAATTATTGAATTACAAATATACAAATAAAACAATTTTTATTAAGGTCGTCTTGTACAACAGAAAGTATAATATTTAAAAGATAAAATCTATTTCGTTTGAAGGAAAAGAAATTATATTTTCTTGTACATAATTATTATATACATTTTTAGAACGATTACAATACCAGCAGACTTCGTACTGGATACATACATGACAATTCCATGAACGGAATTTTAGTCACAAGACACTGCACCTTACTACATTTCCTCAGTATTTGAAAACACGTATCGATTACTCTTGCGATTCCAGCAACTCGCATTCGGCCTCCAGAGAATTTCTTTGGCATCACAAATATTGTGAATTGATGATTTCGTTTGTGAAATCCGACAACGATAACTACAGTACCAATAAATAAGAATTTAACTCAAAATAAGAGATGGTAACTCTACAACCGTTTGTGTTCTCTTGTATCGTAGAATTTAGAAAAGCCTTTTTCTTACATCAACAGATACATGGCATTACACTTACATTACAAGATGTATAAGTTTGTCTGTTTTATTTACTATTACATGTATAATTCTATTTACAAGCAAGAAAAGTGGGAGATGAACTACATCAAATGTTGTACTAAAATTTACATTTAACAGTAGCATTTATTATTACGGTAGTGATACTTCCTCATTGTTTTTACAGATTTATCGTAAAACGTTGTAGAAAAGATGTTTTCTTTAAAAAATTCAGTGTAAAATTTACACAAGAGTACTACATTGTACACATATCAGGATCAATCTCTTATTGTCTTATTGGACTTTCATACGCCATTGCCAGTCAAAAACCTAAGGAAGCAGCAATTTGCTATCGTAATCTTCGGAGAGACGTGGAGCCGAAAAGAAAACATCGTAAACGCGATTAAAATAATCGGGGATGTAATTATCAATGATTAAACAATCGGTGTTTCCGTAGTTGGCAAGCGTAAGACAAAGATAATCTTGCGGAAATCAAATGTTTATCCTAGCAGCCGGTTTCTTTTAGTCTCGTTCAGTTGATATGTTGTATGGACCAAAATTTATGATCGAGCCAAATTAAGAAAATATTCAGGTAACATTTTATATGTGTAAATAATAATCAAAATCTTTTTTATAAGAAAATAAATTTACGCAGTTTCCATTCTGGAGATAATTCCAACATTTTGGCATTGCTTTAAGTAATTGTAAGCTATACACAGTGGTGCACTAGAAACAAACGACGTTCATACCTTTTGTTAAACGGAATGTTATAAAAATGTATATTATCGAAAAATTAATGGTTACAAGGTAACTGTATTTGTTTTGTTTCTTACTATCGTTGCATTGAAGGAAAAATTATATCATTTTATTTTAAAAAATGGTATTGATATTGATAACATCGAAGAAACCGATCGTAAAATAACTTTTGGTAGAGTGAACTATTGATGTATTGCAGTGCGAGGCATTTCTCCTCCACAGGTACTTTCACGCCCACAAAGGCATCCCACCACGTTGCTTACACCGTTTCCCACCAGCATGATCCAACCTGTGCGCATGTATCAAGGGAGGCACATAATGTAATTATCAGGTTTTTGACATGTTGCACTTTTATCGAGATATGAAGGGCACCTTCAGTTTTTTAATTGCAACGTACAAAATTGCACCTTGTAATCGGAACTGGTGTTGAATACTAATAATCTTTTCTGGATGTAAAATATAACACTTACAAGCATGCTCCGGGCTTGACACCACTTGACTACTTTCTTTAGGGATATCTACAAAGCGAAGTTAATAACAAGCCACCTACGACACCTACGACACCTGAAGATACGTACAAATATCGTTGCTCTAAAATTATATACATAATACAAACTTATAATTTCTTACAAAAAGCTTGTTCAGCTGACCAATTACAAAAATTTTCTTTTGATTGGTACGCAATGAACCGGAACATAGAGTATATTAGAAGAGCACCACAAGGCACACACCAGTATCAGTGTATCTTCGACCCCCTGATGAAGCTAGCTGCAATGCTTGCGAAACATTGGGAAAACAATTCCACAAGGACACGGCTTACATCCAAAAGCCTCAACAGTGAGAACTGTATGATTCTCAAATCTCTGATTCTTACAAAAATTTGTCCTGGTATGAAGAGATATTTTTACACAAAAACTAAGTTTTTCAGAATTTTGAGGTAATTATGTTATCGAAAGTAGTATACACTCAAAATAGTAATACGGTGAGCATAAAGTACGCCCCCCTGACATAGTATTGCAAAGGTTAAATTCCAATTGAATTACCCTTTTAGTAAGAAAATACTGACACTACTAATTTACACCCTCAATCACGTGAAGTTCATCCTAGTTTTATAAAATGACATCATACTAACGGTCACGGTATGATTAAATCGCGTGAAGTCAGGCACCGGTCAATATTGCTCGCAGGTAATCCAATGAGAGCGTTCACAGTACACGGTTCGGTCAAGTCAAATTTAGTACGTCAGTACGTGTAATTTTATCTTCACAACGGTAACTTGCATGTCCCTGGATGTAAAGAACTACCAAGATCAGAAATCACAGCACCTCATGTAATTTTGGAGCATTCGGCTTTCCCGCTTAAAACATATCGCACTTATTTCTACAGCATTTCGCGGTAAGGATTCGTTATTATACGAGCGTTCTTTAGCTGGGATTTTTAGATTGCAATTTCTGCGGGCGTATTGTAATGGGATTCCGTGAAGTTTACGCAGTCTCCCCTGAAAAGATTTTATTTAGTCCGTTCAAAGATATTATTGAAATTTTGATCTATTGATCACGTGTCGTACGAAAGGACACGTTGTAGTACATTCTATCTTGAAGTACGTAGGTCGCGTTACGCAATTCAAATGAATCGTTGAAGGGAAAATGGTTGAGAACGTGGCTGTCACGTTTGTATTAAAATAAATAGTATAACGTTTTCTGCATTTGTAAACAGAAAGAATCAAACTTGCGCATTGGAAAATAAATATGTATTTCGAATATTTCGTATTTCTCATGAGAAAATTCTTTAATTATTTGAACATTCGAAAATTTGAGAACGTTTTGTCGAATGTAAATAGATATTGGGTGTACTCATGAGTAATTAACTGGTTTTTTTTCTAAATGTAACAATGTTTTTTTAAGAAAACTAGAAACCTATTACACACAAAGCTATAGAAACTGAGAATTCACAATATATGTATACATACATGAAAATAAAGCATATTATTATGATTAAAGTGCAGCGAGTGGGATTCACTGATTATGATTTTTGTTGTTATAAAATCAAACCTTTAAAATGTATTCTACCGCAGCAATATACGTACATACAGACATTCAGGTTCTTTAACACCTTACGCCACTTCACTTTACCTTACTTCACTTTTAAAATAATGTTGCAAAAATATTTTGAAATTTCGTCGTGCCACCAGTTTACTAAGTAAAAGTAGTGAATTACCTATTGGTAACTCTCATACTAGTTTAATAATGTTATGTTAACTACAGAACAATGTTACAATATTTCTTTTGTAAACATGGTATTGTATATGCTAAAATATGCTATATTAAACACGTAAAGTACCGAATCTCCTATAAGTATTTCCTAATACTCACAGAAAGAAGTGAAAAAGTAATTAATTTAGATTTAAGACGAACGTATGGGTCTAATGGTGTACAAGAAGCACAATTACAGGCTAAAAACGCATCGGGTTCCTACTTAAAACCATACGAGGTCATAAATGTTTCCGAACAGCTATAAATTTGTTCTTCTACTGTTGTATCTTCAGTTTTAATTATAAAAAATAAAAATCCTTGTGATGATGTAGTGCACTCCGTAAAAATAATACTTAATCCTGATATCCACGATAAATTGATTTGACTACCACCATAATCTTCGGTAAACAAAACGTTTTCTCGGGAGCAGAGAATAACCGGTTAATGCTTTAACATGCAAAAGGGATAACACTGCACACAACCGACCACTAATTACCTTCTTCTGTAAACAGCAACAGCGATACACACTCGCCCTTATCGGTTAGTGGTTCAGCCGAAAGAATGCCTCTTGCAAGCACAGGCGAAGAGCACCCACTATCCAATCGTTCCTCAGGATTCACAACTTCGAACTTCGCGTCATTCTCGCGTTTCCTTTAGCGATCTCCTGCTTTTCGTTAATTTTCTACGATGAATTCGAATACATTATCTATGTCAATTAGATTTATTTACTATTCGTTTACATTCTCTAGAATATTAATTTATCCAACTATAACACTTTCGACGCGTGTATTGAACAGGTCGATCACCCCGCCGATTATTATACATTACGACGAACGTTTAAATGAAAACTTAGAGATTTTACGATATTTCGACTTGAAAAAAGGTGTCAATTTATTAGGCAACTTCACCCTTCGAGGTGGAAACATAATAACGTGCGCCTTGGCCGATGACCAGGCCTACAATGAACATATGATTCGCACGGAGGAACCGATGCCCTGAACACCAGCCGTATCATTGGCTATACATAGCAGTCGCCGCGACGCGACGCGCAGTCGCCGGACATCTCTACCCTTTTGCTACAGTTCGATAAATAATTCCAGCTCTCCCTTTTACGTGACTCTTGGAACGAAAAGCTTACGAGGCACCATATGGTCTTCTGAAATTTTCAAAAAAAGACGAACTCAGAATTACTACTTTACCTGGCAGTTATACAGGGTGAGGCACTTAAGTTGACGATTTCAAATTACCCCTAAATTACTTGCTGTACGAAAAAATGTTTCATACGAAAGTTACATGGTTTCAAGGACGACGTATGTTAGAATAATTACTCAAGTTTTGAAGGGCGTCTTGATTCTTTTTGAGCAGAGCACCCTATATTTCTTTACGGAAATTAAATACGTATTAAAAACCGAGTAAATAAGTATTAAGACGTAATAGGTCTAAAGTGTATATTTATTTGAGATATTAAAAGATAAGTAAAAGGTGCATTATTGATTTTAATGGAACCATCGGCGACTCCAGAAAGCATGCAAGAACTATGAATGTTCGTGCAAAAATATCCAGAAATGCACTAGAAAATGTGTGTCTCAATTGTCAAACTGTTAGATGTCTGCATCAGTAATAGGTAGCAGTCAATAGTTCGAACATCCTTTTATCCTCATTCGTCCCTTGTGTCAATTTGATAGATAATTTCTCCTAAGAAATGATGTCATTTGGTCATGTGTAGGTAAATTTAGCTGAAAGTCCGTGACTTTTATTTTAAAATATTTTCAAATTTAACAGTTTATCTCTTCATTATATTAATTTTTTACCAACGTATCAATTTGACACCGAGGATCCTAAGTTGGGAAAATAAGGGACAGATGAGGGTTAATAATACAAATATCATTGTAAATATCTGAATAAATTGTTTTAATACTTATGTACGCAGTTTTTAATTTGATTTAATTTTCGCAAAAAGATATATGGTGTTCCATGAAAAAAAATCAAGGTAACAAACAATGTACATACTACTACTTACTTTGCACCTACACGTGCAAAGTATTTCGCAAATGTAATCTAGCAGATTTATATGAATGACGGTACGTTTTGAGTATTAACCTCTTGGCACGAGATAAAATCAATTTACTTTGTCTTGATTATCAAAAAATTGGAGTATGTTTAAAAATATTTAAATATGGATGGCTTCAGTCCTATAAAACCATCAAACTAATTTAATTACTCTGGCGAACCGTCTTGTTAATTTATCTAGTCAAGTATAAAGGAAATGCGCCCTGTCTATTTCCACGTGCCAATGACCCAAATAAGCGGCAGTCAGTCGTCTCGTAAAGACGACCGAGTTCATAGAAATAGAATACCAAGCGTTGGCTTCTGACTGACCTGCCTAATATTTTTCAAACGGCAGCGCAGGCAGAGTTCGACACGTACGGAAGTGTCTCGAATTCCATTGACGATGAGTCGGCGATTAAATCGACTCTTGTCGATAGAGATTAATTGTTTCGCCGAAAACGGACTACGAATTTGCGTTGAATCGACTCGTGAGGTAATGGCCTTCAACATTGCCTTAATGCAGTTGCGATTAGAATCAACGCACCTTTGTCAATGAAATATGGAACGCTAGTGATAGAAGGATGTGTTCAATATTCACGCTAGTATAATACAATCGGGTTCGAAGTAAACATTTAACAACCAATCTTAGAAAAAATGGCTCTTTTTTATATCAGAATCAAATAAATCTTTCTAAAGCAATATTTCATTTTAGTTATCTGTTTTAAATGAACTAAAATATAATTTTAAACTTTAGAAAAGGTATTTTACGTTCTAAATAATAGATTACACGTGATTAGTCTACATCAGAGCTGCATAAATTCTACTCCCGGAGTCGGTCTGCCATTCCCGGGGTACCCCCACTCAGAGATGGGTAAATTCTTTATCTACATAAAAAGTTTCGAATAACAAATAAAAGATAAAAAAGTATTTCGTCAGTTTTAATTGTTTAAACGTGGATATTTCAATTTTTATAATAAAACAGTACTTCTTTATGAATGAATCGACATTTGTCGAACAATTATTTAATCTCATTAACTGTTTAAAGCTCAGGACGACTGTGATTTACACACAGTCACGACACTGTGTATTATTCGAATAAAATTCTGCCCAACTCTGCCCCCACTACGCGTCTCAGACTGTCTCGCTTGCTGCGTACGGAAGTTGCATGCTACGGAGCAAGGTCTTCGCAACAGACAAGAACAAGAGGCTATCGCTGGCGGTGTAGTGGGAAGCCTTTCTCCCATAGCGTGCGACTTTCCGCGCGCGAGCGAGGCAGCCTGGGCTACCAGGATGGTTATCGTATCAAGCACATTTATTGAAAACTAATGAAAATGCGCTGACTGATACCTGTTTTTGTAAAAGTGTTCACAAAATAAGTAATCTTTTTATTAAAAAGTGTTAAATAAAAGATGTTTTAGATAATCAAAACTTTTGAATCTGCTTGATACGATAGTCATCTTCATAAGTTTTAAGAAAAACTTTGGTACTTTGATTTTAGATGAGTGGATCTCACGATTTTATTATATGTATAAACTTACACCGTTTAGGCATTTGTTTTTTTTTAACATCACAATCATAGTTGGTTGTTTCAGTATTGTATAGTAAATAAAGTAACGTAAAGAATTATTTTCTTATTTTAAAGTGTATATTAATAAACCCCAGACTTATTGTTTATTCTACGCGTTAAAGTTTTCTTTTACAAAAATTCTAAAAGAGTCACTTTTTTTAAGTCAGACGTTATTTAAACCAGCGTTTAAACCAGACCTATTTTTAACGGAAACCGTTAAAGTATTTTAATATTTGTAAAGATCGAAACAAACGTAATCCCTGCCTTGCGTGTTACCATAGTGATGCGTACTATAATAGAAAGTTATTACACAAAGTCGAACATAAACTATCAATTGACATAATATTGAATGTAATATTTTTCTCTCGAAATGTCGTTCTGAATAATTTTTCAAAATTTGTTATATCATAACAACATCATTCAAAAATTACAAATATAACTTTATAGTTGATGCAAGTGGCTTTATTAATTTTGGTTATGAGAGGTGATGGCCAAATTAGACAACTATCTCACGAAAATTGCAGAGTTATGCAGCTTTCCTGATAGTTTAATTTAGAACAATGTACTTCGATGTGATCATCACTGAACTATTTGGAGTATATAATATTTTAAGGTGGTTCAAACCGGAGTCTCTAATCAATAAAGCATCATATTATTAATTGGCATTAAACACCCACTAATACATTTTAATAGCGTATAAAAATTATATCTACGAAATTCGACGACATTTCCAATGAGCATTCTTCATTATATTATAAACTAAAAATATATTTCGGTTAGTTGCATATCTCTGAAACTAAGTATGCTTGTACACATAATATCTGATAATTAACACTTACATACATATTTATTTATTATGTATATCATATATTACATACATTATATATAGGTCACACTAGAGATGGCGTGAACTGCTACTTGTGAATCACGAGTAAAATCAAATTCGATCACGTTCGTTTCCAATCACGGTGATTTTTCGTTATCGTTTCTGATTGGTGGAGAAACAACAGTTCTTTACACGCGACCACAGCCGACTCTAGCACTAGCCGTGTTGAACAAAGTGGCAACACCGCTCAAGGAGGATTTGGGACAGGGGGTGGACACTTAAATGGGTAGATTGGGTTAGGTATATTGAAGCCTAGGTGGAGGGACGGCATCGCAGCCGTCCCGGGAGGAGCAATCATCCCCCTCCAGAGAAGAGCCCTTCCCTTAAACACCTATAGGGGAGGGCAATGGGCGGGGCTGGCCGCGGTCATGCCGAGCGTTCCCGTCGCCAGCCGTACGCCCGAGGGTCACCGGAGGGTTTGTAGTGGATGAAACCCCACATTGGCCGTTTCCGCCCCAAACAGAGGCGGTGCACCTTTCCAAGGTTTTCCCCCGTAAAAAAAAGGTATATTCAAACCGTTGGCCCGCGGGGGGCATGATTTCAAGGGGTCGCAACCGCGATGACCCTTCGTGCCGCCTGCGGGCAACCAGGGCCTATGAGGTGGTACTGGTGGTACCTCCAGTACCACCTCCTTTCGCGGTCGACCCACAAGAAAACAGCGTCGAGACGTGACCCCTCTACGCTGTAGGTAGGAGAAGGTGAGACGGCATTCAGCCGATCCGGGGGCGGGGGCTGAGCACCACGCCACCCCGACCCGCCAGAAAAGAGCCCACGCAAAAAGGCCAGTGTGAGGGCAAGGGCGGGTTTGCTCGCGGTGTGTGTCGAACGTTCCCGCGACCAGCCCTTACGCCCGAGAGGGTCACCGGGGGGTTTTTAGCGTGAAATCCCGCATTAGCCGTCTCCACCACCAGCGGAGGCGGTGCATATTTTATCTTTTCAAAGTTCTACCCTTAAAAAAAGAAAAAAAGGTACATTGCGTTGTTGCCATTTTTACCTTCAGCACAGCTATTACTAGAGTCAGCTGTGACGCGACACATAATATCATATATTTTATGATTTTATATTAGCGACATCGAAACAAAAATTCGAGTTATATCGTATAAAGTGAAGGAGTAATTAGAAACAATGAAGAATTATAAATAAATTAATGATTATAAATTATAATCTACATATTATCTAACAAGTCATTCTTTTAGAAGTTCTTGTTTTTTCAACTGATTTTTTGAAACACAAATAGTAATGTAATTCATCGTCAAATCATATTGAATACGCTTTTCTGTTGAAAGATCAAGCACTTACGATCGCAGTGAGCAATTCACTCAAGATAAAAAAATCGCAATCACGATCGTGAATGAAGTTAAATCACGACCGTGATCGTGACTAGGCGATCGCTGTGATATGTGAATGGTGATAAATCACCGTTAGTGATTTAGCACGCCATCTCTACATCCGATGTGTAACTCAGTGTAACTGGGGCGCCACAAGCGCAAAATGGGTTGTCAATGTTTCGTGTATAGTTTAAATTTGGATGTTGACACGTGTTTGTATTCAGGACGATTTCCAATTTTTTTTGTGCATAGCCATTGTTGTCTAATGAGTTATTCAAGCGATAAGTAAAATGTCGCGCTCTGTAAAAGATTCAGATGAGGAAGTAGATGCAAAAGCTGGTTTGTACTTTTTCATTTTTTGATTGATATGTGCGCACGCGATTCGACTGGCCGACTAACGGTCGATTCGACATCGAATGTCGTACTTTAATTAATTTCAGAGCGTGTGATATTGCATGAACTTGTTTCTTAAGTGCTCTGAAAGTAAAATCGTGTATCTAACAACACGAACGAATTTTGTTTCATTTAATCTTTTTTATATTATCTTTGTATTTGCAGGTCGCAAGACTCGTGGTCTCGCCGGTTCAGGAACAGTTGACTCTCCACTACGTCGTAGTTCTCGAGTTAAGTCTGTCGTTAAACAAAATGAATCCTCACCTGAATCATCTTTAAGCGACACTGGTAACATTAATAATACACAGTCGACAAGAAATACCAGACGTCGAACAACTACCCTGGACAGTTTTATAATGACTGAAAAAAGTAGGACTTTACGTTCCAGAAGAAATTCTGCTGCATCAGATATCACTGAAACTACAGATAAAGATTCCACCGTTGCAACACCGACAAAGAAGACTAACAATATTTCTGTTAATGATGGATTGAACGAGACTAATGGCAAAACTAGGCATGTCACTTGTTATTATAAATTATTTTTTCAAGGTGACATAATTCTGTAAGAATTAGAAATACTGTTACAACCAAAGTAGTCATAAGACATTCACAAGACAGTATGTGTAAAAATAGAGTAACATTATTAGAGAATGTTAATTTATTGTATTTTATACATATGAGCTTATTAATATTCCCATTAGTGTTTCGTTGACTTCTATTTTGACTAAAACATTTGTTATAAGTTGATCGTATTTATAAGTGCCATCAGTAGGCCCATAGGGAACAAGGTATGTTTGTAGTCAATAAATGGAATGTAATCGTACTGTGTATTGAGAAAACAGTATAATTCACGAAGAACATATATCTTAAATTTTTAAGTTTTGCAAAGTAATTTTTCTTTGTACTTAAATCACCTATACCTTAGGTTCATAATCAATGTTTTTGAAATCTTATGGTCCAGTACTATTTATATTTTTCCTTTTAGTAAGCGACTTTCAAAAGCTGGTTCAGAAATTGAGTCGCCATCAACAGTTACAAGAAGTACACGTAGAACGAGAGCTAGTTCTATGGAACCTGAAGCTGTTGGAGGAAATAAACTTACAAAGATGGGTCAGAGTGAATTAATAGGTAGTTCTGTTAGATCAAGAAATCGAGCGTCTATGTTACCCACCGAAGCGACTGTTATAGAAGAAACAGAAGTGGCTAAAATTCCAGTAGTAACACTGGATTGTGTACTACCTAATCTCAAAGAAATTAATGAAACATGTACATATTGTATCTAATTTTTATGTTCTAATTTATTTCGATTAAGGCAATTTTAATGTATAATATATGTATTATCCTTCATTGTAGACTCAGAGAATTCCACTTCCGAAATGACTGATGAGTCACGATGTATTTCAAAGGAAGTACTTCACATAAGTCATGAGAATGTATGCAAACAAGGAACAGATGTTCATATGAATGGTAAGTTCGATTATTTTAAATACCTTCCTATTAACAACTTCTGTTGTTTGTATTGTAGTACTATGTAAAGTTTATCTTTATCTCTTTAAGGAAAATGAATCCTAATTAGCTTACATTTACATTTATAACAGTTAAGGAAGCATTCATCAATTCTCTAGAAAATTCTCCTTTGAATACAGTTAAGAATATTGAAAAGGATATCCCTATTGATAAACAAATAACGCCAGATAATGATAAAACACCTGAATATGTTTCTACAGATATGACTCGGTCAGAAGGATCAATGCAGAATACATCCAAAGAAATGTCACAAACTGCAAATGAGAACACTCCCAAGGAACTTGGATTAAAAATGCAAAATATATTAAATAATTCAATATCAGGAGTAGATGGGGACCTTGGTAATAAAGAAAACCAAACAGAAAATATTACTGGTGATTCACAAAGTAACAGAGACACAGTCTCTAATGTATTATTACAAAGTCCAACATCAGCAACTGCAAGTAATTTACATACAGGTAAATCAGGGAGAGAAAGTGACGATGATGCAGATAGTTCTGATAATATGCAAAAGTTAGTAGTAACAGACACGGAGCCATTAAATGAGATACCACTTACTGATAGTATAGGTCAGAATGTGACACATGTAGAAGTATGTGAAGATTCAAGCCTAGACGATAGCATTGAAATTTTGAACTGTCCAGAAATTGAATATGATATAGATACAAATAAGACTTGTGATTTGAACAACAAATTAAAACAACCTATACAGCAAACTGTCTTGGACAGTGAAATGTTCAATAAAGATAAAACTGTTCAGATGATTTCTATTTCTAAAGCAAAGGAAGCTACGAATACAAGTGTAGAATATGCAGAAGTTTCTATGAATCAGATTGTGATTCTAGATAATGAAAGTGAAATGACAGAGAAAGTACAGGAGTCTAATATATCAAAAAATACAAAAGACACTGATGACATGAACCCCGTAGAAATACTTTCACGTTCTGATTTAAACAATGCAGCCCTGTCTCTTGAAAAAAATACTATGTCTTCCATTACAGCAAGGGATGAGACTGCTACACATGATTCACAAGATATAGACCAAACTAATAATGTGTCTACTCAGGAGAATATAGTACAAGATCCTTTAGGTGCTCACATGAGCTCAGAGAATTATTTATCTACTAACAATACTGAGGATATTATAACTGATGTGGTTAAAAGTAGTCAATCTCACACTGTTACAGAGTCTTCAGCTAAGCCTTCTGACGAAATTTCTGAGAAAGAAGATGCGACACACACTTCTATGTTGAATAACTCTGTAACTTCAAAAAGGGAGTCTATAAGCAAATCCGAATCATCTAATAAACAAATAAAGCAAAATGTGAATCATGAAACATCTAAGGAGCATGAAGAAAAAATGAAAGTCGACGATGGTGATTCTGATGCAATTGTAGATACAGATTTGTTTCACGACATTTCAGCTGACGAATGGAAGGAAAGGAATTTCGATAAGAATTCTGTCTATTCAATGTCGACAGAGAAACTTCAAAATGAAAGTGAGAATGAGTGTGATCTTGTTTTAATTGATGGAGACGCGAGACAAGTTGCTGAAAATATGGAAAAAAAGAAAAAAAATGCAATATTCGATTACGATTCTGATGACACCGTTCTATCAAAAGCACAACGAGATTCTTTGAAGAGAAAAGAAGAAGAAAAACTGGATATACCACAGGATGATAATAAACATACACCTGCAAAAGTAAAGAGTAACCGAAAATCTAAACAGCAAGAAGAAATTCAGAAGAAAGCAAATGCAGTGAATGATTCAATAGATGCGGTTCAAGATCCAAAACATATTAAATGTACAGAAGAAACAGAAACTGGTGAAAGTATATATAGGAAAAAATCTGTAACAGAAGACACTTCATTTAACAAATTAAAAGGAAACGAAAGTTGGACAGCAATGACTCAAGAAAATTTGGACAAATCAGCTATTGATTCACCACTTAAAGAAACTGAATTATATAAATACATATCAAAAAAACGGAAATCTAATAAATCTTTTAAAAATCTAGACAGTGAAATTGAAGAATGTAATAACTCTGAAGCTGTCAGGGGAAGTAAATCGTTAAATAAATCATCCGTAGATTCATCATTGAACCAAGGCAAATTATCTGAAGACATGTCGAAGAAACGGAAATCATTTAGTACACCCGTTGAGGAGGTAGATAGTGAAAGTGAAGAATCTGATGAATCTGAAGCCATGGAGAGAAGGAAATCATTAAGTAAATCATCCATAGATTCATCATTGAACAAAAGCAAATTATCTGAAGACATGTCAAAGAAACGAAAATCATTTAGCACAGCCGTTGAGGAG